CTATTCGGCGTCGCCAAAAACGCTCTGAATGTCGCAGGGAATAGCGAAAAACCTCGGGTCGTAATGCGGCTACCGGAGATTTCAAAACAACAACAGCGGGAGAGCGGAGACGAGCAGCCTTTGGAGGATTTACCAGGCAAACATATATGAGAAACACACGGATTTGTGGGGGATTTATCCGCTCGGGAAGTTTATGACAGGGTTTGTACTGAGCCACACACACGCAAGGAATATCTAGGAATTTACTCCGACTCCTAGCTTAGTGCTGTATGTGATTTTTCCTCCAAGCCGGATCATCTCCGAAAGTACTTTCCGATGGTTTTCATTGATCCAGGAGAAGTGGGGTTCAAGTAGTTTAGATGCCGCCTAACGTGAACCAGGCACCGGAGAGAGGTCGATCCATAAAAAGGGGTTAGGTTAAATCGCCCACATGCTCTGGATTTGGGATTGGGATCACAAGGTGGAAGTTGAGAGCATCAAATCCCCGCAGGTCTGTGGAAGATGCTGTCCAGCAGGAGTTGAGACCCTTGGATTCATCAGCGAAGAGCTCCATCTGGATCTGAGGACACATGCAGGCCAAAAAACGCTATTTAATTCTGTTCTCTGCAGGTGTGTGTCTCATTCTGCTCTTTTACCTGCAGGGGCCAGCTTCCAGAAGGACTCCAAAGCGAGGGGATGACCCCCATCCACACTGGCCACACTTTTCAGACCCCTTACGAGCGTTCATCCCTTGGGATCAGACTGAAACCGAGGACTATAATGTCAGAGCTTCTCCCAGACACAAACGAGATGATAGTACAGGAGCTGACAAGTGCCGAATGGACTCCTGCTTTGACTTTGAGTTGTGTAAAAGAAATGGCTTTAAAGTCTACGTCTACCCTCAACAGAAAGGGGAGAAGATTTCTGAAAGCTACCAGAATATACTATCCTCCATCGAGGGGTCCAGATTTTACACATCTGACCCGGGACAGGCTTGCCTTTTTGTTTTAAACCTCGACACCCTTGATCGAGACCAGCTGTCCCCTCAGTACGTCCATAATCTTAAAACTAAAATCCAGAACTTGAACCTGTGGAATAACGGGAGGAACCATCTGATCTTTAACCTGTATTCCGGCACATGGCCGGATTACACTGAGGATTTGGGGTTTGATATCGGTCAAGCCATGTTGGCCAAAGCCAGCATCAGCACCGAAAGCTTCAGACCCAATTTTGACATCTCCATCCCCTTGTTCTCCAAAGATCACCCCCGGACTGGAGGGGAAAGAGGGTTTTTAAAATACAACACCATCCCTCCTTTTAGGAAATACATGCTGGTTTTTAAAGGCAAGCGCTATTTGACTGGGATTGGGTCTGACACCAGGAATGCGCTTTATCATATTCATAATGCTGAAGATGTGGTTCTCCTTACCACATGCAAACACGGCAAAGACTGGCAGAAACATAAAGATGCTCGCTGCGACAAGGACAATGCAGAATATGACAGGTAAGAACAGATGGATTTATGATGGTTAAACATTGCATAGCGCTGGATGTTATTATAACATGTTGAAAAATGAATGCACAGTGGAACCAAAATGTAGGTATTTCGTTGCAAATTGATAACAAGATCTTAAAAGAAGTGTTATTTATTTAAACTAAAGATACATTTTAATATTACGTTTAACATATGATATATATTCTGGTTAAAATGAAGAAAAAAGGTTGATTGCACACTTAAAGGGATAGTTCACCCAAAAAAAAATCTAGCATTATTTACTCTTATTGCTTTCAAACCTTTCTTCTACTATACACAAAAGAAGATATTTTGACATGTTGTAAACCTACACTGTAAAAAAAAAAAAAAGTGGGTTCCACATGATCTATTTGAGTTAGTACAACATGAAGGAATTAACTTTAACTAAATACATTTTTACAAATGTAAGTAGATCGAACTTAAAATATTTAAATAGTCCCTCCCAAAACAAATTGTGTAATTTCAGCTTCTATTAAATAAGTAGTTTGAACAAACAGCAAACATATTTTTAGGTGAGTAACCATTGACTTCAACTAACAGATATTAAGTTTTATAAAGTGTTATATTAAACCCAGTAAGAAAAATAATAATAAGCATCATAAATAAATTAATAAAAAATAAAATCTAATCAAACACAAATTCACATTCTACAAATTAATGCTTCTTCGATATCTCCATTTTTCCCAAATAAAGATTCATTTCATTATTACGTGGCATAACATATGATATATATTCTTACAAAAAAATAAGGAAAAAGGGGATTGCACAACTTAACGCAGGGGTGTCCACACTTGGTTCTGGAGGGCCGGTGTCCTGGAGAGTTTAGCTCCAACCCTAATCAAACACACCTGAACCAGCTAATCAAGCTCTTACTAGGTGTACCGGAAACTTCCAGTCAGGTGTGTTAAAGCAAGTTGGAGCTAAGATCAGCTAGACACCGGCCCTCCTGGACCGACTTTGTACACCCCTGACTTAAAGTTCACCCAAAATTGAACATTCTGTTATAATTTACTCACCTTTCACTTGTTTCAAACCTTTAAAAGGTTCTTTTTTTCTGCTAAACACAAAAGAAGATATTTTAAAATACACTGTAAAAAATTATTCAGAGATGATTCCTTGAATTTACTTCTTTTTTTTTTTGTTAAGTAGTTGTAAACAATTTATTTGTGTTGAATTTAAACAAACAAATTAAGTTGAACATTATTAAACTTAATTTGTTTGTTTAAATTCAACAAAAATAAATTGTTTGCAACAGTTCTGCATGCAACACTTTTTTCAGTGATATGTTGAAAACATGCACTGTAAAAAATGCTAGGCTCCATACGATTTGTGTTGGGAAAATAGGGCTGGGTGACAAAATGCAATCTCGATTAATTATTTTCCATATTGAACAATAACGAAATGTATTTCCATATCAGTTGTTAATGCTTCCATATTTAAAAGACTATTCCAATAATGACTGAAGCCACTAAAATTAGACAGTCCATTAAATAGCGCAACCTATTTTTAGTGGCAGATCATTTTTGGTGCATCTCTAATGTCAACACACTTGTAGATTCCCATTGTTCCACATTTCTGCTGATTGATTGGCTCTTGGAGATTTTATATTGCTATTCGATATAATATATGATATCATTTATCAGCCTAGCCCTATGGCAAAACATGAAGGAATTAAGTTAACTTATTAGTTTTTTACCAAGTTAAGTTGATTAAACATTTAAGTTCTCCCCCCACAAAACTCAAGAATTGTGTTGTTTCAGCTTCTTTAAATAAGTAGTTTGAACAAAAAGCAAACGTCATTTTTTGAGTGAGTCACCATTGACTTCAATAGTATTTGTTTTACTACTATGGAAGTCAATGGTTACAGGTTTTCAGCTTTCTTCAAAATATCTTTTTTGGTGAAGAAAGAAACTCCTAAAGATTTGAAACCCCTTAAGAGGAACTTGTAAGCGGACTTTAATTTTTGGTTGAGCTGTCTTTTTAATATGTATGATTGTCTTTGCAAAACAAAGTGCTATTTGTAAATATTTTTTTATGATGGTAATTTTAGTTCAATACTAAATTTGAAAACATTTTGCTAAAATAAGTTAAGTTTGAAATTCTAAAACGGTAGATATGTTGCTGAAAATATAGATAAGAAATATTTGCACACGTAAAAACTATGTCTGTGTTTGCAGTAGATATAATATTAACACTGGTATCATTTGCTTATTTAAAAAAAAAAAAATTATTATAAATTTGCAAAACATTTAATGAAAAGACAATATAAAAATGGAGACACAAATGTATTTGAATGTTTAAAAGTGTATTAATGGCATTAAAATGTGCTAATATCAAACTCATGATGCTAATTCACATTTCTGGAAGGTTTGCAATAACTTTTTTTTTAAAGCAGCTGGTGTCAACAGGATATTTACTGGATGTCAATTCTTTGTCGGTGTAATGTGAATGTGGATTTTGCTTAATATTGTCGTATTAAATGTATTGAGATTCAGAAAATTAAGATAAGAAAAATTTGCACACTTAAAGTATGCCTGTGTTGGTTTTACAGTATCAAAGCAAGAATCATTTACAAATATAAATATATATATATATTCCATTTTATATTACATTTGCGAATCATTTAAAGAAAAGACAATAAAAAAATGAAGACACAATATATCAGAGTGCTTAAAAGTGTTTTTAATGGCAATAAAATGGCTAATATCAAACTCATGATGCTAAAATTCACATTCTGGAAGGTTTGCAATGACTTTCTTTGAATCAACTGATCTTTAGTGGAAGTCAATTCTTTGTCGGAGAATTGTGAATGTGGATTTTGCTTGATATTGTCGTATTAAATGCATTGAGATTCAGAAAATTAAGATAAGAAACATTTACACGTTAAAAGCATGTCTGTGTTTGCAGTAGATATAATATCAAAGCTAGAATCATTGGCTTAATTTTTGTATAAAATTTGCAAAACATTTAACAAAAGCGATGAAATGACAAGTGGTATAAAAATGAAGACAACATATTTGATTGTTTAAAAGTGTATGACATTAAAATGTGCTTATGTCAAACTCATGATCCTATAATTTACATTTCTGATAAGTTTGCAATGATTTTAAAGCAACCGATGTCAACATGATGTTAAGTGGATGCCACTTTTTTGTCTGAGTAATGTGAATGTGTATTTTTTTGCCCAATATTGTCGTATTAAATGCATTGAGATTCAGAAAATTAATATAAGAAATACTTGCACACTTAAAAAGTTTGTCTGTGTTGGTTTTACAATATCAAATCGAGAATCAATCGCTTTTTTTAAAACTACATATAATTTTATATTAAATTTGCAAAACATTTAACGAAAAGACAAAATAAAAATGAAGACACAATATATTTGAATGCTTAAAAGTGTTTTAATGGCAGTAAAAAGTGCTAATATTAAACTCATGATGCTAAAATTCACATTTCTGGAAGGTTTGCAATGACTTTCTTTAAATCAAATGGTGTCAACATGAACTTTAGTGGAAGTCAATTCTTTGTCGGAGTAATGTGAATGTGGATTTTGCTTGATATTGTCGTATTAAACGCCTTGAGATTCAGAAAATTAAGATGAGAAATATTCACACATATAAAGCATGTCATATAATGGCATTGAAATGTGCTAATGTCAAACTCACGATGCTGAAATACACATTTATGACAAGTTTGCAATGATTTTAAAGCAATTGGTGTCAACATAGATATCAATTCTTTGCTGGATTAATGTGAATGTGGATGTTTCCTGACATTTTCTTATTAAATGCATTAAGATTCAGCTCAAATACTTACAGAAAGTATGAATATATCCAATTAGTTTAAGTAAAGAATACATTTAATGCATATTTGTATCATCAGAACACATTTGCAGTAATAATAGCAGGAAGTACAATGAAAGTTGTATTATATCCTAAAATGCTTACGTCAATCTGTTTCATGTGAAGCTTTTTTCAAATGATGATGATAAACTAGTTTCCTAATGTAGTGCTTTTAAAAAAAACTTAATCTAATGCTTATCATGATAACCTATCATTTCCAGCTGAAGTGCATATGAAAAAAGCTGCTGTGGATTTAATGCATTAAGATGTAGAGTCCTTTGGAGGCAAAAAAGCTTTCAATGTGCATGACATAACCCAACCCCCAACCACCTCGTGCAATCAAGATATATCCCCATTGCTTGTCAGGACATCTGCGTCAACTGATCCTTTTGCATCTATTGTTCTAAATTAGGATTACAGCAAACATGCCAAGTTGTCTTTGCGTCCATTTGATCCAATAGGCAGATGTTAGGATTAAGAAGCATTGCGTAAGCAGTGCAAACTTTTGGCCTTTATTCTGAATAACAACGTAATTTAGGATCCCTGTAATTTTCCAAATGCAGGTTTAACATTTAATACCTAGATTTACATATAGGAACACACACACAAAAAAACAATGCACTGTAAAAAAGTGATATGACAAAAAGTCATGACTACAAATTAGGGATGGGAAGATTAACCGATATGTATCGATACGCGGTTATGCGCGTTCACGATGCGAGTGCATCGGTGGAGCAGCAGAGGATGAATGAAATTTTGGAAGCAAATCGAGATGCATCGGTTTTTGCGAGATGCATCGATTTTTCCGAGATACAGCTTATATTTTTAATATAGAATGTATTTTTTATTTATTAACAAGTGTTGTCAACCTGTTTTTGGCGCATAATTTAATCGACCTACATAAAGTAAGCCTTAGCAACGGATTTGCGGATGTGCACACACTACAACTCAGTGTATCAGGTGTGCGGATGAAGCTAGTGGTGCGCCCTCAGAAAGCGCGAAAAGCAAAACAAACATTTTATTCCTCACTGAGTTTTAAATCTAAAGTATGGCCAGCAACATTATGGATTTAAGGATAGACGACATGACAGGACAGATGCAATTTGCAAAATGTGCCGCGCATCTGTA